GGAGTAACCTGACTGATCAGGGAATTTTTGATAGGAGGAAAGCAGCGGACTACAGACCATGGACTTCAGAAAAGCAGACTTTGACTTATTCAGGGAACTAATGGTCAAAATCCCCTTTGGAGGTCACTCTGAGGGGGAAAGTAGTCCAGGAGAGCTGGTTGTATTGAAAGAAACCTTACTGAGGGCACAGGAATGAACCATCCAGGTGCACAGGAAGCCTAGCAAATATGGCAGGTCACCAGCTTGCCTTAGCAGAGAACTCTTCAGTGAACTAAAACACAACAAGGAAGCTTACAAGAAGTGGAAACTTGGACAAACGACTAGTGAGCAATATAATAGTACTGCTCAGGCAAGCAAGGATGAAACCAGAAAGGCTAAAGCACACGTGGAGTTGCAGCTAGCAAGAGATGTGAAGGGTAGCAACAAGGGATTCTACAAGTGTATTAGCAACAAGAGGAAGATCAAGGAAAGCATAGGCCCCTTAATGAATGGGGGAGGCAACTTAGTGATAGATAGTGTGGAGACAGCTGAAGTGCTCAATGCCTTTTTCACTCTAGTTTTTACAGGCAAGGTCAGCTCCCAGACTATTGCACCTGGCAGCACAGTTTGGGGAGAAGGTGAGCAGCTGACAGTGGAGAAAGAACAGGTTAGGGACTACTTAGAAAAGCTGGATGTGTACTAGTCCATGGGGTTAGATAAGGTGCTGGAGTTGGCTGATGTGATTGCAGGTCTCCTGACCAGTATCTTTGACAAATCATGGTGACTGGGAGAAATCCCAAATGATTGGAAAAAGGGAAATATAGTGCCATTTTCTAAGAAAGGGAGGACAAAGGATCCAAGGAACTTCAGACTGGTCAGCTTCACCTTAGTCCCTAGAAAAATCATGGATAGAAAAATCATGGAGCAGCTCCTCTAGGAATCCATTTCTAAGCATGTGGAGAAGTTGATTAGGAACAGTCAGCATGGATTCACCAAGGGCATGTCATGTCTGATCAACCTGATTGCCTTCTGTGACAAGATGCCTGGCTCTGTGGATGCCAGAAGGGCAGTGATTTAGCAAGGCTTTTGATATGGTCTCCCACAACATTCTTGCAAGCAAGCTAAAGAAGTACACTTTGGTTGAATGGACTGTAAAGTGGACAGAAATCTGGCTGGATTGTTGGGCTCAGAGGGTAGTAATCAATGGCCTGATTTTTAGTTGGCAGCTGGTATGAAGTGGAGTGCTCCAGGGGTAGGTCCTAGGGTTGGTTTTGTTCAATCTATTGATCAACGACCTGGAAGATGGGATAGAGTGCACCCTCAGGAGGTTTGTGGAGGATACCAAGCTGCCAGGAGTAGTAGATACACTTGAGAGCAGGGTTAGGATTCAGAGAAATTTGACAAATCCAAGGATCAGACCAAAAGAAAACTCATGCGGTTCAACAAGGACAAGTGCAAAGTCCTGCACTGAGGATGGAATAATCCCATACACCCGTACAGGCTGGGGACTGACTGGCTGGGTAACAATTCTACAGGATAGGACCTGGGCGTTAAAGTGGACAATAAGCTGAATA